GCCTCGGTTATTGCTCATCTGACTATTGGATTTTCAATGAATAAAGACAATATAAGCAACAATTACATACCTTATAAAGGTGAAAGTTTCTCCCAGCGAGGTTCTTTAGCCCATAACCTCTTGATTCAACAATGAACTCCTTGGTTACGTACAACAGCTTTTATTTCTTAACCCCTGATTTCAGCTCACATCCGTTGAGATTTAAAACAATAGGGTGTAGAGGTGGTTTGTTCGATTGGTCGTACTTTCTATCTGTATAGAAAGCTGTAGAAGCAAGCCTTAATTAGTAGACGTATCGAACGCACCCAATCAAGAATTTTCGAACTGACCAGAGAAAACTGTTCATCAAGACGTCTTAAACAATGGTTTAAGTTTGAGGTTTCTAACGTCTTTTGTACTACACTGAGCACAATTCACCCTTATTTTCTCCCTTAACCAAATTTTGTAACTTTTAAAAAATGATGGGGGTGGGTTCATCTATTAAAAGAATGAAGGAGAGGGGTGGAAGTGAATCTATATATGACGTGTTAAGAGAAATATATAATATAAGTCGGCTAGAGGGGAGTGGGGACATCTATAAAAGTATACAAGATGGGTTAGGGGTCATCTAGAAAGGAAGGAGTGGGGTATGGGGACATCATTTTAAAGATCGGGTGAATCAGTGACGGTGCCATTGTGGTTACAGGAGGGGCACATCCAACCACAGAAGCAGTGGCGGAGCCAGGTTAACGTCCGAAATATCTGAGATTGCCCGAATTTCTAACTTAGTTATGAGATTTATTATCACTAATAGTCTAACAAATTAAGAATTTGAGCAATTGATGAATTGGTTCGTAAAAAATATTATGTGCCTCTTAGGAGCTAAATGTAGAGCTGGATGTATATTTGTCCGAAACATCTGCCTCTATTCCAGCCTTTGAGAGATATTTTTACAGTTATCGGCTGGAGTAGGTAGAGTCGGCTGTGGGATAAATCCCCACATTACAGAGTCTAGTTTTTCTGTCTCTACACCAGCCGACAACTTTCAAAATTGTTATCAGAGATTAAAATAGTGGCAGATGTTTGGGTCTATATGTATATCAGTTAGAAGCACCTGTTATCATGATAGCCCAGTTTATAATCAATAATTCTAATGGGTTATACAATTTATATTTAGATGTTACAATGAATATTAGAGTGAATGTAAAATTATGTAGGCCGACTTCCAAACACGTTGATTTACGAAGGGTATTCGAGTTTTCGCCATGAAACCCTTGATGCAACAATCACAAAATAAACTAAGCCACTGAGGTAATCGGCAAATGCAAAAAACTTAAATTTACCAAGTAAAAGTTACTCTTTAATTATGTATTCATGATTATTTTTGGCGCCATTGTAATAAGTAACATGGCGGTTGTCGCTTCCGGAAAGGACATGCTGACTCTTTCAGGAACACCTGACACCATTCTGAGAGTCAAGATACCTGCTATGATATATTTCATATATTCACTTGATCTGGAGTTCACTTTATACACACTTCTTTCCGGTTTGACAACAATAGCACAAAGTTCTGAAAAACAACCCGTAAAATGGCCACCCATAACCCACAACAATGGCCACCAATAACCCACCAAATGACCAACCATAACCCACCAAATGACCAACCATAACGCGCAAAATGGCCGGCAAAAACGCGCAAAATGGCTAACCATAACCCAAAAAATGGTCCCGATGAAGTCGGGCTATTGTGGCGTTGACGTCTTACGACGATTGGTAAGCACTGCGACCTGAACGGATTTCCAGGAACAACAACACACTTGCAGGAACCAGACCGATGGCAGCGATTATTTCAAGTGCAAACGCCCAATTCAGACTGCCCCCAAATGGTGATTCAGCTACAAAAACAATGACTCCCAATATGATAAACACCTCTGAAATGATAAAACGAGATGCCAGTAAAAACATTTGCCTTATTACTGTAGCGGATCTCATGATCTATGGCGTCGGATGATGAAACTGGTGATGCCGAGGAATGATCAAATGGGGATGAGTCTCGGACCAAGGGACCGCTGGTACCAGATAGTACACTTACTGGTAAAGGGTTCAATGATACTTACCACTGACGATGGAGCCAATGAATGAAAGAATGATGAAGAGTCTAAGATTCCTGATACGGTACAGCACTAAAAGACCCATGACGCCAAACAGAATCAGCAGGGAAGCCATTTCCAAGAATTTACAACCACTTAACCATCCTGAAACAGCAAGAAAGCAAACTTAAAGATGGGTTCCCTTATTTTTATTTATGAAAATGAAAATGCTAATACTTTTATGAATAGAAAGTAAAGGTGTTCCCCTGAGAAAATGGATTGCCCCCCTATAAATATTCTTACCCCCCACAAGAACAAACAAAAAATAGATCAAGTCCACATACCCAAATCGGAATCATTGCTCACACACCCAAAACCTGGTAAACACGACACCCACAGTCCAATGTGGGCCTCGGCGCCTTGGCCACTAACCACGACCCAGTAAGGAGCTGACATTCCAACGACGTGCATCAGACCTCCGATAAACAGTATCAGCATTCCACACTTGACGTAGATGCTGCTCTCGCGAATGATTTCTATACGGAGCATTGTTGAAACGTTTAAGGAGCTTGCTTGAAGATGACAAAAATTTTCACTTTGTTATTCGTCTCACGCTTTCGGGAACAGTTATTGGGTTTTTAAGAAGCGAATTAACCAGTGCTGAAGAACAAGTCCAAAGAGTCAAATGACGAATCTACAGTATTCCAACTGGATCAACGAGTTCCTAAATTTCCAAACGTTGATGTTGCAACAAAAGCTCTGATGAAGGATCGACAGCACCAGAGGACAATTTTTAGGTCGCAGCAAGTCTGCAGAACTCAAATAGGAGTGTATCTTCTATAAACCCAAAACTTGACCAACGAGTTCCAGATTCTTAAAGGCGCAACAGAAGCCAAATCGAGGAATCTATTCCACAAGAACTATAGTCCGCCGGTCAGAGTGCGTCAGTAGGCGTATCGAGGTCGATTGTGATCTCACTATCGCTTTTGAGTGAAACTGGTGATAATCGAGAAACATAAGATACTTAAAATAATCAAGTTGACATCTCCTGATATAGTCCCAAATTTAAGGATGCTTCGTCATTTATTTTAAAGTCATGGTTTGGGTTGAATTTTTTTTATAAAATGAACTTCACCACACCTTTCATCTAATAGAGAATTCGATATATCAACAAGTAATTAAACCCAAACCTTTACTTTAATGTCATGAGGGAAATGTCTTCCACTCCCAAATTGTGATAAAATTTTATCAATATTTGTATAATCTTGTGATTCTGCTTAGATTGCGAAATCTCCTCTTTTGAAATTTGATATCTCCTTCTTTTCGGACACCTTAAAGTTTAAGTTTTGGACATTCACTTATTCTGTTAAAGCAGACGGATGAAACAAGAGTTCCTCTCATTGCGTACTGTGTGGCACTGTCATTAACCAAAAACCAGTGGGTGTGAGGTGCAAAATAAGAAGGGGGAAGCAAAAAACATGAACATGGCTAAAGGGAGACAACTCTTTTTAATAAAACAATATAAGACTACAAAGATTTATAGGGTAGTTTACTGTAGTCTGAAAAATTATCACGAGTTCTCTCCCACTGTGACTTTTTTGGGTCTATATAATCGAGACTATATTTATGTCACGTGGTTGTCAAAATCAAAACATTGAAACAGCTGGGGTTGGAATGTTTAATGAATCGTGTATAATTTGAGATAAAAAGCTTGTTATCAACTTGCGAGACTTGATATCATTTTGGAAATTAATTAGCTTATCATTATGTCTATAAATAACTCAAATTTATCACAAGATGACGGCGAATTGAACTCTGAAACGGACGACGAAAGTGACAACTTTATGTACGAGAACAACATGTCCGCTTCCGAAAAATCTCCCCTCGTTTCCTCTCAAGACAAACATGGGTCAAGTTCGGAATCTTTGGATTCCAGAGATGGTGAGTTGGTCTATGGTTTCAATCGTCCTATCTGGTCCATTGCTGTCATCCTGATACTCTGTGCATCACCTGCCAAACATCACATATCTAAAGGAGTAGGCTACCCCTCTCCCATTTTTTTTTCAAATTTGTATCATTTTATAGAGACAGGATCCTCATTATTCCAGTCAACCCAGCAGTAAATGGGAACAGATAATCCAGGAAAGATCAGTATCAAGAGGTTTGGTTGGTTGAAAGGATCCGTGTTTATTTCATAATTGTATAATGTTGTATTTTTCAGAAAATGTATTTTGTAGTTGTATTAATACCAGAACAGTATTAGCTATCATGTCGTTTTTGGGGTTTGTCAACGTGTATTGTTTACGAGTGAATTTGAGCGTGGCTCTAGTTGCTATGATTAACAATACTGGTTTAGACAATAGTAACAAAACTGTTACAGAGGAATGCCCAGGAGATGTTGTCAACTCTACCAGCCCTTCCACCCATCCGGTAAGTTGAGTTACAACCTGCATTTTCGGAGGTTTATTTTGTCCTTGAATATATGCAAATAGTCTTCAGAAGTACTAGAACTATACGATCTTTCATAGATTATCTGTAGGCTACTCCTCAGCTGGGGCAACTGGCTTTCACTTCCTGACAGAGATTATAACCCATGAACACTATTTATTCGACATAACAATCAAAAGAGGTTGTATTAAGATTTCAGCATTCTAATCAACTGTGCTACATCCGCTCCTCAAATCATTTCATTTTGATTTTTCTCTTTTAAGGGAGAATTTCATTGGGATCAGACAACTCAAGGAGTGATCTTAGGATCATTTTTCTACGGTTACATCACCACCCAGCTACCAGGAGGCTGGTTAGCCGAGAAAGTTGGTGGTAGAAGACTCTTTGGATATGGGATCCTGTGTACTTCATTATTAACACTTTTGACCCCAGTGGTAGCAAGATGGAGCTTACCAGGATTAATAGTGTTAAGAGTTGTTGAAGGCATTGGAGAGGTGAGTCTATTTTTAACATTGTTGTGTTGAAGTCCAGTGGCAGAGCGAGTTAGATGCTTGCTCGCGAACCTGAAGGTCCACGGTCGGAGGGACTGAAAAGGCGTCTAGTTGTTAAGTGCTGCTGCTCTGGCAAAATTTCCCTCATTGCACACTGCATAGCATTGCTCATCTTCATTGGCTCAATCATGTTTAGAAAAGTAGACCACACCTGTATTTTCTTGCATGAAAGGTAAACCCTTGTTTATTGGAACACCCTTCTTTCAACAGAGGGAAATCAATCAAAAAGGAAGCTAATGTAAAATTTCCCTCATTGCACACTGCAGAGATGTAGGACATAAAACTCAGCATAATTCCTTTTGTTTTTGCAGGGAGTGACATTCCCAGCTATGCATGCTATGTGGGGAAGCTGGGCTCCCCTTTTAGAAAGAAGTAAACTTGTTTCCATTTCTTATTCAGGTCAGTTGTTTTGTTTCTCTTATTTCTGAGGGTTACTTCAATCATTCATGATCTAAAGAACTTCATATCCCTTTCACCTTTTGGATTTTAACCAATCAAATCCCCTGTTTCTGAAGAGCTTAACTAGTTCTTATCAACTTAAATCAAAAACCAAAATTGAAAACCAAATTTGATTTTGCTATGTTAACAAAACTGATAAACCTATGTACAAAAGGATAAGTTTGATTGTTGATTGGGTTTATATTTTCAGGAGCTCAGCTAGGAACAGTCATATCCATGCCTATATCTGGATTACTGTGTGATTATGGGTTTGCAGGAGGCTGGCCTTCTGTATTTTATGTTTTTGGTGAGTTTTCCTTCTATTATGGTTTTTCTGGGGGGTAGGGTACAGGCCTAGTATCACTGTTCGTGATAATGAAACTTATTGTGATATTTATATAGTTAGTGATATAGCTTTTGATGTTATTTTTGTGATGATAGTATCATTTGTCCTAAGATCTATTTGTGATATTTATCATGTCCTCGATACTAAAATTATTTGTGATATTTATAAGTCTATTTGTGATATTTATCATGATTGTGATGATGGATCTATTTGTGATATTTATTATATCGTGATCTTATATATTCCAGGTGCCTTGGGATGTATATGGGTATTTTTCTGGATGTTTATTGTGTATGACCATCCCTCCAAACATCCACGAATATCCAAATCAGAAAGACTGTACATTGAATCTACTACTGGCAAACGAGAGGTAGGTCTGAAAATAACTGAAATAAGCTTTATCACTTAAGGCCCTTCATCAAACACTTAGTTTTAGTGGAATTGCAGGAACCACACATGCCTAATTGAAAATTAGAATGGTGCAAATTGATGCTATCAGTGTTCCTGATACACATAAAAATTTTAGGAAACCTCTTCACAATCCCTTTAACTCTCTACCAGCTACTAAAATGGTTTCTCAAAGATGCAAAATCTGTTTCAGAACACCACTACTCCTTGGAAGTCCATCTTCACCTCTGGTCCATTATGGGGTATAGCAGCTGGTCACTTTGCCAATAACTGGGGGATGTACTCGATGTTAACATGCTTACCAACTTATATGAAAGAGATACTCAAATTTGACATCAAAGCGGTAAGCTATTTTCTATTTTTAACTACAAGAGATCTGCTGGTCACGTGTTCCTTTTGCTGTGGTGGCGTTTAAATTTCACCAATGGTTCTAGGTCTTGAAGAAATACACTCATGGCTTGAATTGTGTCTTTTGTTGATGGTAGTCTGTAGCCCAATGGGTTAGGGTATTGGAATATGTATATCTTGCCATCATTTTGGTTATCTAGAAACTCCAAAAAACAATGAAAGCGTGGATGAGGGCAGGCTCTAATGCAATTGATGAAGTGTTGAAATCTTTAGCTGATTATTTTCTTGGTTAAATTAAATAAATGATGGTCGTGGGTTCTAATCTTAGTCTTGATTCAATATTCATTGATTAATTTTGTTTTGTAGAATGGTATACTGTCAGCGTTGCCGTATTTAGCTTTATGGCTTCTTCAGTTGATCTCCGGCTTTATAGCTGATTGGTTGCGAGGCCGTGGAATTCTGAACACCAATAAAACACGTAAACTTATGAACACCTTGGGTAGGTAAGACTTTCCAGTCGTTTCTTTATCAAGGAGCCTACTGATTTCTTTTTTTAAATGCTGACATACTGGATGTATTTTGTGGGCACCCATATCCGTCTATCCATTTACATTTCCTCGTAAACACTCTAGAATCTACAAACCGATTTGACAAATCCTGCGCTATCTGTTCCCTGGACGTGAAATACGATTCTGACAGTAGGTTCCAATTTCATAATTTTTGGACAGTTATTGAAAATACTGTTGATAGTTACTGCCCTTGTTTTTTCCAGGTTTGTTGATACCAGCAGTGTTTATGATCGGTGTATCGTACAGTGGGTGTGACCACACGCTGGCTGTCGTGTTGCTGATCTTCGCTGTGGGAACTGGAGGATTCTCTATGGCTGGTTATCAAGTCAATCATTTAGATATTGCACCCAGATTTGCTGGTAAGTAAGCTACAACTATTTTTTACAAGGATAACAACTTAGGTTCACAGTTTCTACCCAGCTGGTCCTTGACCAAACCACTTAGCAGTGATCTTTCCCAGATTATCCGTACCCATTTACAGCTGTGTTGACTGGAATAATGAGGATCCTTTCTACCAGCTGGTCCCTGGCTAAACCATTTGGCAGTGATCTTTCTCGGATTATCTATACCCATTTACAGCTGTGTTGACTGGAATAATGAGGATCCTTTCTACCAGCTGGTCCTTGTTCAAACCATTTGGCAGTGATCTTTCCCAGATTATCTGTACCAATTTACAGCTGGGTTGACTGGAATAATGAGGATCCTTTCTACCAGCTGGTCCTTGTTCAAACCATTTGGCAGTGATCTTTCCCAGATTATCTGTACCCATTTACAGCTGGGTTGACTGGAATAATGAGGATCCTTTCTACCAGCTGGTCCTTGTTCAAACCATTTGGCAGTGATCTTTCCCAGATTATCTGTACCCATTTACAGCTGGGTTGACTGCACCAAGCCCTGAATCTTGTATATTAGAATCTTAATCTTTCAGGATCATTGATGGGAATAACAAATATGATAGCTACAATACCAGGATTTTTAGCACCATTGGTAGTTGGTATTCTCACAGATCATCAGGTTAGTTGAATCCTGTAAACCTGGCACCCTGGGTCCTCTAACTTTCGCACTTTTTAGTCCTCTAAATGTCGCACTTTTTAGTCCTGTAAAGTTCGCAAAGTTTTGGATATTTTAATCCTCCAAGCTTTTCACTGTTTAGACCTAAGTTTCGCACCTTAATCCTAACTTAAAAAGATGTATTTGACTTACTTTCAGCTGCCTGTGTCCCTTCTCAGAAATTAACCATCATTTCATTCATAAAATGTCTTTGTCTCTTCCACTCGTAAAAATTTGCCCCTCTCTTGCAGGAAACCAGTGGTCAGTGGAGGATTTTCTTCTTCATCACTGCTGCAATATACATCGTCGGTGCCATCTTATTTTTGGCGCTGTCGAAAGGCGAGGAATTGGCATGGGCCAAAACTAGAGAACTTGAAAACTTAATTGAAAAGAGTGTGCAATCAAACGTGCTTCCTTATGACTCAGATAGAACCAATCTCCTACACAATAAAGACATATAAAGCCCTGTTTGATTCAAATCTGTATGATTCTGGATCCAATCAGAAAAAAGAATTGTCGGCATAGATTTGTGCATAACCAAATCAATTAGGATACAGATCTAGATGGGCCAAAACAGTTATCTTTTGCTCAAATAATGTTTTTAATTTGGATAACTTTAATTCTGAAAAGAGACAGGTCAAATTGGTATAAAAAAAATATTATTGTTTGTTATCTAATTTTGTTATCCCTAAGAAAAGTCTATGCAGAAGTTCATCAAAATCATGTTATGAAATAACAAATTGGTTTTCCGAAGTTATTTATATATTCAATTTTGTTATCCCTTAAACAACATACTATATATAACTTACTATACTGCCAAATTTGGTTTCTTAAGTAAAATTTGTTATCCATTGTTTTGTTATTGTTTTATATTACGACATAAATTTTAATTTTTGTTATCCTTTCAAATATACTAATTACAACTTACTAACTAGAGAGTCATTCTCTCACAAAATGATTTTTTCTTTTCTTTGACTTACAAATTGGGTTTATTGATTAATTATGCATTTGTTATCCCTTTTTTGTTATTGCTATGTATTTCAATTTTGTTATCCATCAAAAACATGCAATGCAGAACTTACAATCAAAAATAAATTTCCATCCTTCATTTAATATGATTTTTGTAACTTACAAATTGGTTTCTGGAGTAAATTTGGAATTTGTTATTCCTTTTTTTTGTTATTGTTATGTATCAAAAGGGCATTAAATTTTTGTTATCCTTTGAAAACATACATGCTAAAGAAAATTTTCCATTTTTTTTTTCTATTAATATTTCACCTTTGTGAATTATGCTTTTTTCATATTTTGTTTTTGATCAAATTATTTGTGATGTCATTTATTTTTCATTTAACCACTCTGTGTTTAATAATACTAGACCAAAATGACCAATGATGACCTATTAAAAGATTTTCATTTGGCCTGAATGGTAAATGGGACAGTGACATCATAATTTAGTTATGACTTTTATTAATGCCAAAACAATGGAAGTCAAACTGAATATCAGAACTGTTTAAATTGATTTATAAGTTTCCATGATACTCAAAAAAAATTTAAATTTTTATCATATCATTTTGTAAATTTAGGATATAATTTTTATTTATTTTTGTAAATAAAATGTAAATTTACAGGTTAATTTGGAAGATTTTTGTAAATAATTTAACTGATATAAAATTATATTTATAAAATTAAAGAAATGGTTTGGTTATAGAAATTTTGTTTAAATTTTTTGAATTTTTGTAGCTTAAATTAATATATTTTATAAATTAAAGGAATGGTTGGGCATTAGAAATTTTTGTTATGATTTTAATATAAGGCTCTTTATAGAAATTTATTTTTTTAAGAATTAAAGATATTATTGGATTAAAGAATTTTTAATATATTTTAATATTGTCTCTTGCTATATTTTTGTAAATTAAATTACATTTATTTTAAGATTAAAGATATTATTGGGTTTAAGAAATTTTTATTTTGAATTTGTCTCATGCTAAAGCTTGAATTGGGTCGAAAGAAAAGCTTAGGAAGGCATCTTTGACAGGCATAAACGTTTCTGAGGTCATCCTGCAGAAAAGAAAATGCCAGCAGTGGGCAAAACTTTGAAAATTGGGTTTCTCCTACGTATTCTAACGGTTTCAACTAAAAATATTGCATCTTTATGAGGCCAAAACTAGGTCAAACTGCTTAATTAACAATTAGTACTCTCCATTTTTAATTAACCCTTTTAAAACAAATTTAGTTTGATCAAGTAGATACATAGATTTAAATAACATATTAAAAAAAAACCCATATAATTTACAACATATTTGATAATAAAAAGTTGCATACTGCTCCCTTTAACGCCATTGAGCACAGGAAACCAACCCCCTCTCTGGTATATCCTTGACCCTTTAAATATTGCCTGATCTAAGTGATTACAAAAAGCCATCCAATGTAACTGGATGCAAGAGACTATAATTAAAAGCTTCCAGTTACCTTTATATTGTTACAAACAAGTATGAACTGTTGCCATGGTAACAGATTAAGAAATAGCCTTCCATCTTCTCATCAGCTGATCCTTATTATTAGTATTGTTTCTTTTGTTTTGTGATTTTATCAAACCCGTACTGCATTCTCAACACAGAGGCCACAACATGCGGAGTGTTTTTGTTTTGGCAAGATAAATTTGGCACCCATTGGAACAATTTTATATGTATATTGGCTTTTGCATAAAGAAGGCTCAAATTTCAGAGGTATTTTTCAGTTTTATTTTAGCATATTAACATCATCATCATCAGCATGGTCATGGTCACCCTAACCCGTTAACATAGTCACGGCCGTCATTGCCATTTTCATCATCATCATTATCTTCTTCATTGTCATCATCATCACCATTATCATCACCATACCCCATCACCATTATCATAACTTTCACCACTATCATCATCATTGTAATGATCATCACCCTTATCGTTATCATAGCCATCACCATCATCATCATCATTATTTCATCATTATCATTTTTGTGTTATATTGTAGATCATCACCATTATTATCACCATTATTATTGTCATGATCATCATCATCATCATAGTCATTATTTCATCATTCTTTTTTTTCTTCCAATTATTGTAGGGCAGCTGTCAATGATAGAAAATGGCGGATATGTTGTGACAGAGACGATAATGACAGCTCCAAGGGTTGTCATGCCAACACATTTATAAAATCTATCTTAATATGGCTTTCATGACACTAGTATTGATTTTAAAATCTTTTCATTTAAACAGACAGACACAGAGTAAAAATGCCACCATGTAAGGTAAGGCATTATTTTTATCCTAAGGTGTTTTTTTTTTCGATGAAAATCTGAATCGTTCTATTTCTTGTGTGATTTTTTGTGTTTTGAGATTCGATGGAACTTCCATTGGCACCAGTCTGATGTCTGTGGTTCCTGTTATTGCAGAAGATCTTGACCAGTGGTGTGAGAATATCTTGAAGCTCAATTCTTGTGTCACAGGATTCTAAATTTGGTAAGGACTTCAAGAGAATCTCTCAGATGGAATTTAAAAATCAAGAGAGTTCATACTCGTTTGGTTAAAGGCCTTGGTTCACTGTTTTCGGGATGGATTTAGGTCTTGAATATATGTAAATAGTCTTCAGAAGTACTAGATATGTACGAAAATCACATAATTCCTTTAAAAATATCTCAAACTAGGAATTTTACTCACTATTTCTATAGATGTCTTTTAACTTTCAAACACAAATAATTCTGGACACACATGGATTTGAAGGCTCAAATTTTGATGATGACCTGTTGACAATATTACTGTTTGGCTAAGCTACAAAAATTCCCCTTTCTGAGACTAAGGTACGATTGGTCAGTTGAATGTGGAACCTGTCCCTGAAACATTACCAATTTTACCAACTCAGTTACAACAAAGGAAGTCAACTCGTTGAACAGGATATATTATAAAATAAGTCATGTCCTCCATGTTGTAACTAAAGATATCTCCATGTTAAAAGAGTTCCAAGCAGGACATCTGATAATGAGGAAATGGCATTTCCGTGGTCTTCTTGTAATTGGTAATTACTGCTGTAAATAGCCATTTTCTTTTCAACTTTCAAATATCAGAACATTTTTGGAAATTTCATCAGGAAGGATTTCTCCAGGTGTCATGGCGGCGCCAGCTTCCAGAGACTGGGGGTACAAATAGAGGGCAAGACTAACTTATTAGGGGGACAACTGTCAAGGTTTAACTCAAAATGCTACAGCTCTGTCGGTGCGCCCTAGACTCCAGGTCTTATCGCAACGCCAGCTTCCAGAGACTTGGGGTACAAATAGGGGGCAAGACCAACTTATTAGGGGGACAACTGTCAAGGTTGAACTCAAAATGCTGCAGCTCTGTGGGTACGCCCTAGTCTCAAGCCTCCCATGGAGTGTCTAAGAGGGTATCTTACACATATTTTGGGGAAATACAATTTTAAATTTGTGGATAAAAAAGTAGGGGTACAAACCATTCTCCTAATGGGCAAATGACTCCCTTCTGTAACCCCTCTGGGTCAGCCAATGCTGAAATTCTCAGTTCTATAAGAAGGAATAAAAATTCATTCCTTCATTCAATCAATTTTTTTGTTGATTTCTCATTAGCAACCAACCACCTGCAAACAAATCAAATAAAACAAAAGTGTTTATTACAAATTGAAAATTACTAGCCACTGGCGAGAATCTGCTGTAAGACAAAATAAATCTAATTGGATGAAATGAATTTTATTTGGACCAATTAGATTGGTCGACACAATAGTAATCTATTTATTAACCAATCACATTCCTAATCTTATTCTGTAAACAGCCAATCAAAATTGATTGCTCTTGACCACATTTTCTTTTTGGTCAATGACAAGTTGACGTCTGCTTCCAACGGCTTTGTTCAGTATGATTGATTAATATAGCTTTTGTTGAAATATCAACCAATAACAATCATTCTCTCAATCCAGTTTTTGCAGTGGACCAATCAAATTTGATGGCTCTTAAGCATAGTTGAAGTATTATGGATTTTAGAAGGAACCATCAACCAATGAGATTACTTTTTTGTGAAACCAGTTTCTGAAATAACCAATCAAAATAGGTTGCTTCTAACCTCAATTTTTATCATATAATTTGAGCTTAAATCAACCAATGAGAATCCTAGTTTGTAAATCTAGTTTTGTGAAGAGCCAATCAAATGTGTTTGTTGTTAATCTAATTTTGTTTGAGTTATGAAAGGTTATGATCATATTTACTTGAAGGGTTGGCAAGAAAGTGAAGTTCTCCTGTTGAAGAACTAAATGATATAGAATTTGGAATAATAGGATTTGAGGAATTGGAAAAACCAAAATTCATAGAATCTTCAGAGAATATCTTTCAAAGCTACGGTAAGGACCAGATATTTTTCCTATTCTGCTCTGTTTGAAGGACAGGGGAGATCAGCTGCTCTGTTTAGAGGACATATGTGATCAGCTGCTCTGTTTAGAGGACATATGTGATCAGCTGCTCTGTTTAGAGGACATGTGAGATCAGCTGCTCTGTTTGAAGGACAGGCGAGATCAGCTGCTCTGTTTAGAGGACAGATGTGATCAGCTGCTCTGTTTAGAGGACAGGTAAGATCAGCTGCTCTGTTTAGAGGACAGGCGAGATCAGCTGCTCTGTTTGGAGGACAGGCGTGATCAGCTGCTCTGTTTAGAGGACAGGTGAGATCAGCTGCTCTGTTTAGAGGACAGTTGAGATCAGCTGTTCTGTTTGGAGGACATATGTGATCAGCTGCTCTGTTTAGAGGACAGGTAAGATCAGCTGCTCTTTTTAGAGGACAGGTGAGATCAGCTGCTCTGTTTAGAGGACATATGTGATCAGCTGCTCTGTTTAGAGGACAGGTAAGATCAGCTGCTCTTTTTAGAGGACAGGCGAGATCAGCTGCCCTGTTTAGAGGACAGTTGAGATCAGCTACTCTGTTTAGAGGACAGTTGAGATCAGCTGCTCTGTTTGAATACTCCCTCTATAGACATTAACAAGAATGATTTCCAAATTTTAATAAAAATAAATCTGTGGTCACAGGGAGAAACAATTTTAACACAGTATCACTTACCCTTTAAAAATAGTATTTATTTTTTTATGTGCACATCAATTGTTATGCAGCTAAAAATTTAGCAACTACACAATTACGTTTGCATATCTTATTATGTCTTACTAGCATTTGAATTATATTATTATGGCTATTTTAAGTAAGTTGTTATCTGTTGTACAACAGAGATAAGTACCAGTAAGTACCATACCATGAGATAAGACCAATTTAGGTCACGGCACACTACCTTATTCTTGAATAGAATATCTTGTGATCACTATCTTTTAAGGTAATTTTAATGTTTTATACATTTGTGACCAGTTTTACAAAACCTAACTTTGTACGCTAGTAAATACAGCCAATCAGCCCCCGATTGCAGCTAAATTATCTACCGTCCTTCTGTCAAGGGCTCTGATTGGCTGTATTTGCTAGCATACAATCAAATCAAATCGCTGCGTTTACGATCATCCGTGATACAAGAAAGGTGGCTGTTACAGTCAAGGTATTAGACATAGTTTGTAATAGCTTGACATAGTGAAGATGAAGTTTGTAATAGCTTGACATTGTGAAGATGAAGTTTGTAATAGTTTGACATTGTGAAGATGAAGTTTGTAATAGCTTGACATTGTGAAGATGAAGTTTGTAATAACTTGACATTGTGAAGACCAAGTTCGTAATAGCTTGACATTGTGAAGATGAAGTTTGTAATAGTTTGACATTGTGAAGATGAAGTTTGTAATAGCTTGACATTGTGAAGATGAAGTTTGTAATAATTTGACATTGTGGAGATGACGTTTGTAATGGATTGACATAGTGAAAATTCAGTTTGTAATAGCTTGACATTGTGAAGATGAAGTTTGTAATAGCTTGACATAGTGAAGATGAAGTTTGTAATAGCTTGACATTGTGAAGATGAAGTTTGTAATAGCTTGACATAGTGAAAATTCAGTTTGTAATAGCTTGACATAGTGAAGATGAAGTTTGTAATAGCTTGACATAGTGAAGATGCAGTTTGTAATAGCTTGACATTGCGGAGATGAAGCTTTTAATAGCTTGACATTGTGAAGATGAAGTTTGTAATAGTTTAACATTGAGAAAATTCAGTTTGTAATAGCTTGACATTGAGAAGATGAAGTTTGTAATAGCTTGACATTGTGAAGATGGTGTTTGTAATAGCTTGACATTGTGAAGATGAAGTTTGTAATAGCTTGACATTGAGAAGATGAAGTTTGTAATAGCTTGACATTGTGAAGATGGTGTTTGTAATAGCTTGACATTGAGAAGATGAAGTTTGTAATAGCTTGACATTGTGAAGATGGTGTTTGTAATAGCTTGACATTTTGAAGATGATGTTTGTAATAGCTTGACATTGTGAAGATGATATCTGACATGTATAGGTCTTGCTACTAATGTATCAAGGGTACGGTCAGGAAACTGCACTATACACCTTTGGTAATTCAAAACGAAACAAAACATGATAAAACATAATCTGTTCATTATAACTAATTATTAAGTTATTAATTATAAATGAGAATACTAACGAGATATATGATATCTCACTAGATGAGAGTGGTGTTTGTTATCCACCAGTCTCATCTGCAGTAGGATAGACCTGATTAATCTTATTGGATGTCATTAGATTATCTGCAGTTGAATCATGGATAGAGGAATTGTGCTATAGAGTAGGGGTTTTTTGGGGTTTTTTTTATTTGATTTGTTTTAATTTTTAAATTGGTGGTTTGAATTGTTTTGGTTTTGATTTGTTTTTATTTTATCTTGTTAATTTATTTTGTTAATTATTTATTTATTTTGTTTTTAGCAAACAAAGTATATTGGATTTTTGATAAATGAAGACCATCATATGACAGAAACAACAAATAATTCATCAATATTAAAGCTAACGTGACGTTTTGAAAAAGACACACAACAGTGAGAACCATTTGAAAAAATTTGAAAATGTGAATGCGGTAAAAATTGTTTTGAAAATTTGTTGAATTGTGTCAGATATAAGCAAGAACAACTTAAAGCTGTCATGAATTCCTAGAAACAAATTGAATTTTGAAAATGGAATTGTGTATCAGATAAAAAAGAACAACTTAAAGCTGTCATGAATTCCTAAAAAACAGTTGTGAAAATTTGATGGAATTGTGTATCAGATATAAAAAAGACCTTAAAGCTGTCATCAATTCTTGGAGGAAATTTTAAAAATTGTGGAAATTTCATGGAATCTTAAAGCTGTCGTGAACTCTTAATAAACAATTTTAAAGATGATATATAAAGACATTCGTATAAAAAAATATATAAATCACTATGACGGCTAAAAATAGAAGTAAGGAAATCCCTTATCAGGACTTCTCCAAGATTCGCGAGGCTATAAGTAGGAAAAAGGAGAATCAGATTGATTTGAACTCATCGGATTTGTTTGTGGATCCATCGTTTCCCCCTGATTGGTCCTCATTAACTTATGTGTATAGTGGAGATGACAAATATGAGAAAACCGTCTTCAAACGACCCATTGTAAGTAGATTTTTTTCATTTTTTTCAATTTTTAGATCTTCGAGTGCAATGATTTTACTTAGAGCTCCACTAAACTTTTTGGTATTGCTAGTAAGGTGGAAGATGCTTACTTCTAGAACACCTTATTCATCTCTGCAAATGAGATTGTCAATTTGGCAGACTGGCACACTAGCAGATCCATGGAGTGTGTCATCAGGGACAAAGGACAAAGGTGTTAGCCTTCTTTTTTTTGATTTCCAACCGTCGAGGAATCTTTAACCAGTACAGTCTGCAGTCTTTGTTTATCATCCTATCATATTGAGGGAAGACTTAATAATGGAGAGATAAGGTCAGAGTTGAGATTCCCTGGAGAGTGTGAGGTGTTTCCCTGGAGAGTGTGGGGAATTCTCCTCCAAGAAAACTTTGAAAATAAAATTTGGTGTGTTCTGACGCACAGACTTTGAGACAAACACGTATAAAAATCTTATTTTGAAATTTTAGAAATAAATTGGAGGTGCAATAGCCGAGACAAATGGCCATTTTGTACCTCCACTGTTGCCTGGGGGTACAGAATATGTTTTTTTTTAGTGATAAATGATGTTCAAACTGTGATAAATGATATTGTTTGGCAGTCAGGTGTAGAGTGTATATACTGTCACTAATTATTGATATACTGTTAGAACTAATTAGCAGGTACTAATTAATCACCTGTCAGATGTCAAATACAACCCAGTTAAAGTGACTGTGCCTGTTGATATTAAAGGGGTGTGTGTTTTGAAAACTCAAATCAAATTTTGGTAAATTAATATCCAAGTTTAAAAAAGAATATTTTGTTAAAAAATAAAAACTCTCAAGTGTATATATTCATCAGTCGGACTTACCTGGTGTCATAACTATACAACAGAATCCCTGTTTAATCTGATAAATCCATTAAACTAAGTAATTATTGAAAAAAAACTTAAAATTTGAAGCTTGTTTCAAAATTACTTAGTTTTAATTTACTTCGTTATTTATTGGATTATAGAGAGATTCTGTTGTATAGTTATGACACCAGGTAAGTCTATTGATAAAAATATGCCCATTTTAGCCAATTTTGAAATTATAATTTTTTGGTCATCCTAAGGGGTAGTATACCTTTAATGTATATATTATGCCACTCTTTATAATAGAATATTTGTTTATATGATACTCAGCCAGAAGGCATAAAAAGTTCTGTATATGATAATATTGATCTCAATAGTCTGCTAATTATCTTGTTTATTTTTCTTTCAAGTTTGTTTATAACACATTACCATGGTAACAAGTTGAAAGCGAAAGTAGGATTATTAATGATAATAGACTGGGTATTCCTGTGATGTATGGGGCAAGGCTGTCGGCAGGATTTTTGTTGGGGGGAGGAGGGGCGTTCCAGATGCAACGAAAATTTGGAAAATTGACCGTAACATGACGCATTTATTTCAATAATAAATTTAACTTCAAAGTTCACTGCCTCATTTGAAAATATTTAGATAAAGTGAACCACAGTCCCATTTGTTTATTGATAAGAGGGTGCAGTTAAAACAACTAATCCATTTGTTGGTTATTTGCAGAACATCATCAATAATCCTGTGTTGGTTGGTGTAGGTGGCGTCTGTGTAGAATGGTTTCCATGGAAATCGTGGAAGCAGAAGTCCTGGTTTCAAGGTGCTGTCATGGTGGTTTCTCTCAGTTTGAAATTCATGGAGAAAATCATTCCTGGTTATCGAAATTTTGAACAGGGATTTGAACACAAATATCTTGGTAAGAATAATCTTCACAATGTCAAGTTTTACAAACTTAATCTTATACCTTGACTGCATTAGTCACCTGTTTTGTATAACAGAAGTTTGTAAATGCAGTGATTTGATTGGATTAAACGCTAGCGAATACAGCCAATGAAGAAAACTAATAGATTTAGTGGAATTGCAAGAATCAAAGACGTCTAATTGGAATGCTACAAATTGATGCTATCAGTGTCCCTGATACACATAAAAAATTTAGAAAACTTCTTTACAATCTCTTTAATTCTTTTAATTACAGGTGCTTTTAGATTTCACATCTGGAGATTTGGAGAATGGATTGAAGTGGTGGTTGATGATTACTTACCCATACTCAATGATATGTACCTGTTCTGTTCTTCTATGGGCCAGCCTCAAGAGTTCTGGGGAGCGCTGATAGAAAAGGCTTATGCAAAGTGAGTATGTCCAGAAGTCTTCACAGCCTTGCCAATCTTCTTAGAAAGCATTTCTCGATGTTTTGTGTTCTTTTTTCTGAGGGTCCATCCACTTGCAAACCATGATCCGATAAAATTCTTCTATATGTCATGTTCTGTGAAATTTTGACCCAATGGCATCAAAAGTTGCCATTGATTAAATGCATATCTGGATTTTTCTTTTGTGCTTTCTTCTTCGGGTGACTACACCTGCCAACCATGATCTAATGTAATTCTTTTGTATGTTGTGTTCTTTGGGATTTAGGACTAATAGCATCTAAAGTTGTGCTAACCAATGAAAACAATGTTAAAGGGGGCAGCCAATACAAGTAAATGTATCCCAAAATTGTAATAAAATCTTTTATGGACACAGCATTTGATTGGTTGAATATTAAATGACCTAGAACAGGAGAAGCATAACAATCTTGCTAGATCACGGATGACAATTGGATGTTTTACTCATCTATGTTTCTTGTAGGTGTAAAAAGACATTTCAAGCTATTGAGTATGGAAATATTCTGGATGCTTTGACAGATCTGACTGGTGGTATTTGTGAGTTTTACACCCCAGACGTGAACCCTCATGAGAATCTATATCACATTATGTATAAATCATCTTTAAACCGGTCTATGATGGTCTGTTGGAGAAACAACAAGAGACTGACAGAATCAGCTTTTGATTTCGATGACTTTCAAAAGGTAAGAAAGAAGCAACCATTGTTGATTTCCACTAATTATCACAAGAATCCTGTCTACCAGATGATCTTTGACCAGACCTCTTAGGCTGATCTTTCAGTGTCCATTTACTGCTGGAATAATGGGTATCCTTTCTACCAGCTGGTCCTTGACCAAACCTCTTGGCATTGATCTTTCCCAGATACCCTGTACCCATTTACAGCTGGGTCAACTGGAATTATGAGGATCCTTTCTACCAGAGGATCCTTGGTCAAACCTGTTGTCATTGATCTTTCCCAGATTATCTGTACCCATTTACAGCTGGGTCAACTGGAATTATGAGGATCCTTGGTCAAACCTGTTGTCATTGATCTTTCCCAGATTATCTGTACCCATTTACAGCTGGGAAGAATGGAATAATGAGGATCCTTTCTACCAGCTCATCCTTGACCAAACCTCTTGGTATTGATCTTTCATGGATTATCTGTACCCATTTACATCTGGGTCATACCCACCATCTGTGAAAGGTTTGTTTTATTATTTCAGGATAATGATAAAGATTGCTGCGAAGATAAGAGATTTCTTCATATAATTACTGCTGTTACCAAGGTAGGGCATTTAAATCTTCCACAATGTCAAGCTATTACACACTTTGCCTTATACCTTGACTGCAATAACTGACTTTCGTTTATCACAGAAGTCTTTAAATGCAGTAATTTGATTGGATTGTTTCATCTAGATTTCATCATTTTTTTACTTCTTGAAATTTGATTAATTACTGAGAAAAACTGACTTTCATTTATTAGTTGTAGAGCAATAGGGTGTAACACTCCATTTCTTTCTTTTTCAGTTCCCTATGACAGATAAACGTTCTTGTGACATGATCAGAATAAAATGTTCATTTCTTAAAGAACCCAAATGGAAGGGGAAATACTCAGAACTGTTAAGTATACTTGTACAATATTAGCTGCAAGAGTCTAAAGACCAAGTTAAAGGGATTGTAAAGTGGTTTTCTAAATTTTTTATGTGTATCAGGGACCCTGGTAGCATCAATTTACACCATTCTAATTTTCAGTCAGATGTCTGTGGTGCCTGTAATCCTAAGAAAACAAAGCGCATTATGATGTCACTATATCACTACCTACCTTGAATTAAACTGGCACCAAGTTCACTAACAGAACTTTATTTTTTCAGGGATTCAAAATCATGGAACTCTGTCAATTCTGAATTCAAGGAGAAATTTCGGCCATTGTCCAGAAAAGAAGACGATGAATTCTGGATGACTATGGAAGACTTTCGCTGTAACTATGGTGGTTTGTTCATCATCAGCAGTGAAGAACCGTACACAACTGATTGGTTGAAACTGGACCGCAGGTTCCGCCAAGAAAATGGTGTGTTTACCAACGAATCCACAACAGAAAATAGGACAACCTCAGTGATCAACCTCAGCGGGCAGAATCGTTACAAAGTGGAAAGAGATGCCAGAGATTTTACTCCACATCCTATTTCCAATCCGTCATGCTTCAGCTTTCGTCAGCCCAGTTCAGCTCTAGGGTGTATGGATACAGAGACCGTTCAGTCACAGAGTATCTGTGTACGTGAAGCTCTCAGATCACGCACCGTGGACTATTCCCATAGGATTCCCACATCCAACGATCAGACTCCCAAAAATCTTAACCTGAGTAGTGATAACCCGTGTGGTAGAGTGGTGTGTCCAAATTCCTACAGTTGGTTAAGAAATAGTTCCAAGGATGATAAAGAATCCAGACTCATGAACTCAAAAGCCAAATCCGACAGAAAAGGCCAGCGGCACTCAAATGATATGACCTCAGCAAAAACAGTTAATGTGTCGTCCAAGGGAAGAGATTTCGTGAGGCGAACATCCGAGACAGAATCACTGCTCTATCAAGTGTCCAAAAGATCAATGGACGTTAAACTCAGACGTGAAAAAAGTATGAACTCAAATTCCATGGAAACAGATTCTCTGGCAAGTCTTCCAGGGTGTATTGACATTGAAGGTGAAGGTCAAATTTGGGCCAATCGCAATTGCAGCACTCTTTCCAACACAACTGTAATGTCTGAACAGAGTACTTACAGTGCCTCTGAAATATCTCTGCAATTCCAAACTCCACAACCTACAGACGAATCTCATCGTCCCAAAAGTGCTCCATCCTCATCTCGTAATAATTCTGACACTTCCCTAGCCTCTTTGACTCAGAGTCATTTCCTTGCCAACAAGACTGACTACTTCAAACAGCCGGGACGATGGAAAGTTATGTTCGAACACAAGTTCAAATGGACAAGTAAGTTGATTTTTTTGTTCTGACCTATTTAAGGACTTTAGTCATTCTCAAGCGATATCTTGGTCCTGTGTGTCTGTGCTTGTACCTATGGCTACACATGTAATGAAGGTTCAGAATAGCCCTCCAGTATGTGCTGTCAAAGCAAAACTTTAAGAACTTTCAAGGGTGAGCAAGTCAGAGAACCTCAAGCCCCTTGATACCACAGATCTAATTTCTGTCCAGCTTTTATCCATTACTCTCATTTGATACCCTGTGTCAATTTTTAAAAGTTTGACAAACAAGGGATGAAATTTCTCCAATGACTTGCAAATCATCTTAAAATGTTCGTCTATTTCAGAAGACAGACAAGGAATATCCCGATCTGACATGGACCGACATTCTCGCAGCCCTAGAATCCTGTTTACGGTCTCTCGTACCAATGAGGTCCTGGATCCAAACTTGGTGCCAAGGATGCAAGGAAAGCGACATGTTATAATATCAGTATTACAAGACTATCGTCATGGACCTTCTACTGCTAACAGCTTACTCTTTCCCATCGGTTTCTGTTTATATCGGGTAAGTCAAGATGGAGAACCATGTTGTCTCAGCAGGTTGTGTCTACCCTGGGATATTACTTATAAAGTTCCTAACCAGGTTTCTGGTAGTGGTGTAGCGGGAGGGGAACCAAGGTCTTTTATGCTTGTTTTTGTGTGGATGAGGTCCACTGTGCTACTCCATTTCAGTATATCGATTTGTCTTGCAGGCCAAGAATATTGACAAAGATGATAAACGTCATCTGTCCAAGCTACATCTGGTGAGTCAGGTGGATGGTCCAGCTGAGATTCGAGAAGTCAATGCCAGGTTTGATCTGGAGCCTGGTGGCTATGTCCTGGTACCCTACTGTCTGACCGAGTGCCATGAGGGAGAGTTTTTGGTCAGAATCCTAGCTGAGTGGAAACCTCCTGGTGGTGCAGAGTGGTGAGTTCTTGATCTTTCTCATGTTAGTGATCTGCAGCAACTTGAAGAGTTAAGCTTTTGCTGGCTTATCTAGAGGCCATTTGGTCCTTGGTAAACTTCTTGGCAAACCTCATTCCTGGATTACCTGTACCCATTTACTGCTGGGTTGACTGGAATAATGAGGATCCTGTCTACCAGTCTGTCTTTGGCAAACCTCTTGGCATTGATCTAGATCTTTCCTGGATTACATGTACCCATTTACAGCTGGGTTGACTGAAATAATGAGGATCCTGTCTACCAGCTCGTCAGTGGTAAACCTCTTGGCAAACCTCTTTCCTGGGTTATGCATATACCTGTTTCAGAATCTTCTAATGAGATCTACTTCTGTCTTTCAGCACCATATCCTGACAGCATGCTGTAACTCAAAGAACATTCCGGTTATTTTTCCTGTTCATTGCTTCTGGTTCAACTGCCTGTTTTTATCATCATCTATATCTGTAACAACTGAACAGTTTTGTTGATTGAAACAGTTTAACAGAAGCGGCTCTGCTACTGTCTGCTAGTCTTTTTCATCACAGAAACGGCTTTGCTACTGTCTGCTAGTCTTTTTCATCACAGAAACTGCTCTGCTACTGTCTGCTAGTCTTTTTCATCATCTTGCCTGGTTTATGAATAACCAAATCATATTTTTGGTTATGTTTCGCTATATTATTTTATTATGTTATTATGTTATTATGTTAAGTCTATATTAAAAATGTTTCAATGTTATGTTATTTTATGTTTATGTTAAATGATATTATGCTCTTGTTGCTATATTAAATACAATGTTATATTATATACAATGTTATATTATATACTATTATATACAATTATATTATATACTATTATATACAATGTTATATTATATTATATACAATGTTATATTATATACTATTATATACAATGTTATATTATATACAATGTAAAGATATATTATGGTTAATGTTAAAATTTGACAGATACCAATTACCAATCACTTGGTATCACTTGGTACTAATCAAATGTTACATTAGTATATATACCCGGTACTAATCAAATGTTACAATCAAATTACCAATTACCAATCAAATGTTACAATATAATATACCAGGTACTCATCAAATGTTACAATATAATATACCAGGTAGTTACAATATAATATACCAGGTACTCATCAAATGTTACAATATAATATACCAGATACTCATCAAATGTTACAATATAATATACCAGGTACTCATCAAATGTTACAATAGTATATACACTTGGTACTAATCTAATGTGCTTATTTTAAGGCAAAATGATGGCTGAATATTGGTGCTTATGAATAGAATAAAGCTTTTTGTATATTTACGGGTGTTTTTTTTCACGTTAGCTTCCTAGCCTGAAGATTCAGGATTCAAACTTCGCATAGGATGAGATGATACCTTGTATTTTTTAAACCGATGAAGGTCAGTTGTCCTTTGTGATACAGGCCATTTAAAACAAAGATACCTTAACGGATGGAAATTTAAAAAAAAAGAGTAGGCTAATGTCTTTATCCTTGAAAAATTGTCCACATTGCATGGCATTGCCCGTCGTGTGTCGCGGAGGGAAGAAGTGAATTTATAAAAGTGCCGTTAGATACACTCTTATAAAAACGGTTAAAGGGAAGCAACTACATTTATTAATACAGACTACAGTTAAATCATAATATACTTGTGCTGCGTGATATTTGCAACAGTTAATGAAAAGCAACTCTATTTAAGACTACATTGAATTAAGTTTTTAGAGCGCTTAACATTGATACATTTTTGGCATATTTGATCGACATGTTTTGACTTATTTGGAGGACATGTTTTGACTTATATGATGAAAATGTTTTGACTAATTTGATCGATATATTTTGACTTATTTGATTGACAGGTTTTGACTTATTTGATGGGCATGTTTTGACTTATTTGATGGGCATGTTTTGACTTATTTGATTGACATGTCTTGACTTATTTGATGGTTTTGGGAATAGCGTATTTGCTTCAATGTTTTTTTATTTTCTTGTCTTTTAGGTCTCTAACACAACAAATCAAGCAATAATGAACGACCTGGACCCCTCAAAAATACGTATTTGGCTTTGAATGACGGATAGGGTAGCGAAACACTAAGGGAGGTAACTACATTTAATCAAATCATTTCAGACAACAGTTAATTTGTTATAACGCAGAATAATACAAAAACTTTAATGCATTGGTTAAATAAGTTTGTATTTTATTTATGTAGGGTTAGACATGTACAATTGTTTTATTGTGTAGTTTCGAAGAGTGGTGTGTGCATAGTATATGAGAAATTTAACACAAATACAATATAGTTATTATTATACTCTTACCTTCAATTTTATTTACTATCTTCTGGTCTTGAACTCGCATAGCTGGACGACGATGGCGGACGAACGCGTTTATCGATTGAGCCATCGCACTTGACTGAATACTGCTTGTCGACTTAAAGATTATATGGATAGATTTTATAGAAGAAGAGATTAAAAGATGAAGACTGGTTGTTCTAAGAGACTGGATATCAGAGTCTACTCGGGCTAGGTCAACTGGTGAACACTATGCACGTGCTTTTCGCCGTAGCTCAGTCGGTTAAACTCTCATGTCTATATTATAGTCGTGGGTTCGAATCCTGGAGTGAGAATTGAATTGTTGTGATCTATTGAAGATCTTTATTTATTAAACCACATCCACTTGAGGCCCAGGAAGGCAACCATCACAAAACAAAATTAAAATTGGGTCGGCTTTCGTCAGTAAAAATGTCTTTCTCCTTGGAGAGAGGGTCGTGATGAGATATATTGAATATCAAGCATAATGATCTGAAATGAATTAACAAAAGCGTCCAGGATTGGGACTCTGATAAACACCCCTAAGTTCGTAATCATGGTGGATGAGCGGTCTATGTAGAATGTTCTCGGTAGTCTGCAATGATAGGGTCGAGGGTTCGATCCCAGTTATAATCATATAGATTTTTATAGAATTTAAAAGTATATATAGTCTTAATTTTCAAATATATATGTCGTCCGCGGTGGCCAAGTCGGTACGGTGGTAGGAAAATCCTCTGAAAAGAAAGGATGCTAGTTCAATACCCACTGATAGCCCACTGGAATTTTTCTTCTATTAAGATACGAGGTTACGGTTATATTGGATAAATAATTCGCTAATTTGTCTGTCTGGATGGCTCAGTGGTAGAGCGTTGGTCTGACATCAACGAGGTGTGGGATTGAAACCTTTGATGGATTGTAAGATGAATGTGCAGTACCTAATTTTACACTATTTAAAACTTGAGGTTACAGTTATAATGGATAAAAATTCCAAGTTTGTGTTCGACTGGATGGCTCAGTGGTAGAGCGTCGGGAGAACACGGTTGCAATAACGTCATCCATAGTAAGGACTAACATCCTCTAGAAACTTAGGTGGGTTCGAACCCCACGGGGAAATCTAGTTGTGAAAGATTTTCCATAGTGGGCACTCAAAACCACTAGAATCTGCTTTGGACGTCAAAAATACTTTAAAACCGAAAATTGGGTTTGAGTGGGAATCGAACCCGGGACGTTTGAACGATAGAAAAATGTAGGGAGGGATGAACAACTCTACGACCACGGCCAAAATAAGTGGGATTTAAACAAGCGTTCGTAAGTAATATTTAAAGTTCAAAGTCACAACCTACTATAGTAGTAAAATAGTAAGTATCTTCCTCTCTCCTTTTAGAATCTTGGAGGGACCCGGGCACCAGTTTGCCCCTCGGCTCCCCTCCTTGTCTCTCGTTCTTCAGCTTTGCCCCTCGTTCTATCTATTGGTAGTGTCTTGCCTGCGGCAGGCCCAACGTGTCAACTGACATCTTACCTCTAGAGAACTCAGGTCTCTCATATTAGAATGAGAGAGAGAACATGAGACAGTGGCTAAAAGCCTCTGGAGATTTACCTGGGCTCGAACCCTCGCCGTCGAAACAGAGTTCTAGCCCAAGTCCACCATCCATCCATCTAGGCCATAGAGACCCGTTAGCAAACCACGAAATTTAAGCTCTTTTAAATGACTGTAAATCATTTATAAGATCAAAATAGTGAATCTAACAACTTCGGCGGTATTCGAACCAGAACTGTCTAGATCTCTAGCAGCCTCTCTAACCTCAGGGCTACGGCGGACACAGCAAACTCTTCAGAAATTAACCATTTTATATGTGAACTTTTATAATGAAATTGTCAAAATTGTTTGCTAGCGTCCCCGGCAGAGGTTCGAACCTTATCTGATCATTTGCCGACCGAGCACTTTAACCACTGTGCTATCGAGACGACGAGGAAACATTGCAAATTTATCTATATAACCCTAAAACCATTCGAGTAAAGGTAACATCAAAATGAATTATGGTTCCACGTCAGGCGTTCGAACCCACTACGGATTTCACCAAGACCTACCACTCTATCCACTGAGCCACGGTGGCATACGAGATCAGATGTTATTTTGTCTATATAATTAAAACCTTTATTAGATATATAATAAAAATATTCTCGCGGTGGGAATCGAACCTTCCGACTTAAAATCCAGCTGATACACTGGCTGTCGAGTCGACTGAGCTACAGTGACATGCACGTAAGTTGATCTGATGACTAAACTAATATCTTGTTCTTAGTTCTCTGCAAGGTATTATAGCTTTCTCTTTTGATTTAGACTATAAATCTTAACAATCATTCAGCCAAGTGCGATGGCTCAGCCGGTTAATGTGTTCGTTCGTCTTTCATCATTGCGATGTGGGTTCGAGTCCACAAGAAGTCGACAAATGAAACAAGGTAAGTAAAAAATTAAATTATTCTTAATATATATTACCCATACGCGCGCGCACACACACAACACCTCGCTACTAACATAAAAAAACCGCATAAACATCAAAAACAAAAACCTGACAAATAAATAAAAAAACCAATGACATTAAAAAAAGATTGTAAAAATAGCTACCACATACACAAAAAACAAGCAAATAAATAAGCGGGTTTTGTACTTTTCATTCGTGAATATTTAAACGTTTTAAAAAAAAAATATGAAAAATAGAGCTAAAATATTATTGCTAAAAATGCCATTTTTCCAGTCAAATGTGATGGGTAGATGATTTCCAAGTAGAATGATATTTCACCTTAAACTCATTGTATTTATTGTACCATGGCACGAAATGCGCGTGCGGATTATTGAACACTTGTAAATATTAATCACTTGATGCAAATTCTCATTGTTGGTAACATTCCAAATAAACTAAGCTCTTACAAGTCTAATATTGAGTATTGAGCAATGCCGCAGTAGCTCACTCGGATGAGAGAACTACATACTAAATTTTAATGTAACCCGCGATCGTACCTCATGTAGTCCTTTTGTTACAACGGCTTGCCATGAAAGATAAAGAAACCTTCTTTTTACAAATTTGAGAGACTCTTCCCGTCAGGATTGAGCCATTTCGGTGATAAAAATGGTTGTACTAATGTTTTTGAATGAATAATAAATCAAAATAGTTTTGCAGCAAAATGTCAGCTTGAAGAGATTTGAACTCTTGACCTCTCACCTCTGACCTCCTATGCGCACGTGCAAATAACTAGACCACAGTTAATTAACGTCATAGTGACAATGAAGCGAACCAATATGACGACCCGGGTTCGAAACCCGTGTAAAGGATGTTTACATTGTCAAAAAAGGCTTACTTTGTAAGATTAAGAAAGTCTATTTTTACAAATTTAGGTGACGTAAGCAGACCAGACTGAGCCATTTCGATGATAAAAATGGCTGTAACAATGTTTTTGAGTGTATAATAAATCAAAATAGTTTTGTAGCAAAATGTCTGCTAGAAGAGAGACTTGAACTCTTGCCCTCTCACCTCTGACCTCGTGTGCACACTTGCAAACAACTAGACCACAATTAATTAACGTTGCAGTGGCCAGTTCACTGATATGACGACCCGGGTTCGAACCCCGTGTTAAGGATATTTAATTTTGTTAAAATGGCTTGCCATAGAAGATTAAGAAAATCTATTTTTACAATTTAGGTGACGTAAGAAGATCAGTCTGAACCATTTCGATGATAAAAATGACTGTAACAATGTTTTTGAATGTAAAATAAATCAAAATAGTTTGTAGCAAAATGTCTGCAAGGAAAGATTCGAACTGTTCACCTCTCAACTCTGACCTCGTGAGCACACGTGCAAAAAACAAGACCGCATTTGTTACCTAGAGGCAGATAAAATAAAATTTAAAAAAGGGAGATAATATACCAGAAATAACTAGACCACAATGAATTAACATTGTTGTGGCTAGTCAGCGATATGGCGACCAGGGTTCGAACCCCGTTTAAAGGATGTTTACATTGTAAAAAAAATGGCTTTCCATATAAGATAAAGAAAGCTTATTTTTACAAATTTAGGTGACGTAAGCAGATCAGACTGAACCATTTCGATGATAAAAATGGCTGTAACAATGTTTTTGAGTGTATAATAAATCAAAATAGTTTTGTAGCAAAATGTCAGCTATAGAAGAGAGAATTGAACTCACCTCTAATCTCGTGTGCGCGCGTGCAAACAACTAGACCACAATTAATTAACGTTGCGGTGGCTAGTCACTGATATGACGACATTTGCTATACGTTTCTATCAAAATCTATTTTGAATTGTTCTGGTAGCCTATGGCAACAAATTCACAAACTTTAACCAAATTTATACAGAATTTGACGAGAATTATCAGGGGAATTTTGAAAAAATGAAAAAATACACTATCAAAAATCGTTATATATTATACGTTTGCTATACGCTTCTATCAAAATCTATTTTGAATTGTTCTGGTAGCCTATGGCAACAAATTCACAAACTTTAACCAAATTTATACAGAATTTGACGAGAATTATCAGGGGAATTTTGAAAAAATGAAAAAAATACACTTTCAAAAATCGTTATATATTATACGTTTGCTATACGTTTCTATCAAAATCTATTTTGAATTGTTCTGGTAGCCTATGGCAACAAATTCACAAACTTTAACGAAATTTATACAGAATTTGATGAGAACTATCAGGGGA